AACCCCTTCCCCAGGAAGGCCCACCTGGGGGCCATACCTGGTTGTATAGTGTAAGGTCACAGTGACTCTGATCCTCATGTGTCTCAATCTGCAAGATGAAGAGTTGGGATGGGATTAAACTGCCATTATGCAGGCATCACTCTTATGGCTTTGGTTCTTTCTGTAATATTATTTGCTTTCTATACTTTCTTTGAAGTTTACCTTAAAAGAAAATTTTGTATCAGTATAATAAATATCACAAGTAGAAGGCAACAAAACAAAACCCAGTAGAATGAAAACAAAGTAGTGTTATAAAATTCTTTTTTTCTTTTTTTTTAAAGATGACTGGTAAAGGGATCTCAACCCTTGACGATGTTGTCAGCACCACTTTCTCCCCAGTGAGCTAGCCAACCAGCCATATATAGGGATCCGAACCCGTGACCTTGGTGTTATCAGCACCACACTCTCCCAAGTGAGCCACAGGCTGGCCCTAGTGTTATAAAATTCTTTTTTTCTTTTTTTTTAAAGATGACTGGTAAAGGGATCTCAATCCTTGACGATGTTGTCAGCACCACTTTCTCCCCAGTGAGCTAGCCAACCAGCCATATATAGGGATCCGAACCCGTGACCTTGGTGTTATCAGCACCACACTCTCCCAAGTGAGCCACAGGCTGGCCCTAGTGTTATAAAATTCTTACCAGATATTCCTGCCTGCCAAGGCTCAGAGCCTGAAGCCTCTTCATACTTTGTGAAGGGAAATTAGCACGCACTAGAGATGGTAATAATATACTAGCACTCAGATGAGACATTCTGCACTCTGAGAAGGACCACGGGAGGTGAAAAGGGCACAAGTGACCAAGTATCATTTGGTGCTGTGTGTGTGGGTAGCACTCAGGCATTGGGGGTCCCCCTGGTACCTATTCCTCACTTCCTGGATTCAGTCAATAGACCTCGTAGGGACTTAAAGGTCATCTGCCCCACCTGTCATTTTGTAGATGGGCCAGACGTGGAAATGGCTGCACATGCTCTTGACCCAGAGATATTAAAAGATCCATGCCTGACTGTGCTTGTACAGTATCACAACAACCTGCTAAAACGTGGGGAGATCCACCAGCATGGCCCAACCATGACCAATCACACAGAAACCACCTTTGTACACTGTACTCAGTACATTTATTTTAAGCTCAGTTCTAATATATCTATGCATGTTTTTGGACTCACCCTCTGCTGGCCAGTCACATTTTTTTAGACCAGGGAATGTTACTTACAAGTAGACTCTGGTCCCTTCAAAACACTCAGGTTCCTCCAGAACTCTCCTGTTCGTCTATTAGATCCACAGGGAAAGTGAAGTTGCTCCTTCACATTGGTCAGAAGAGGTAACACATGTAACAAACACCTCTAGTACCATTTCAGAGCCATGAAGGAGTTTTGGGTATGGATTATACTTTTTGAGTTTTTCTTTTTTTGGGAGGGGGGTGGCTGGCTGGTACAGGGATCTGAACCCTTGGCCTTTGTGTGACAACACCAGGGTCTAACCAACTGAACTAACCGGCCAGCCCCTTTTTGAGTTTTTATAAATGATAAAAGGTGGACTGCAAAGAAAACATTCAGTCATACATGAGATTGTACCCAAATAGGTTAAAACATAAAAAAAAATACAGTGTTTTAAATTCTAATGTCAAAAAAACAGATTGTAAAGTTATTTAGAAAGAACAAGACTAGGCCTCAAAGGCACTGGAATCTTTTGTTCCTCTCCTTTCTAGATTAATCCTTGAATTGAATTCAACAGTCCTTCCCCCAACCCTGATACTAACCCCACCCCCATCCCTGAGTGGCAGATCCAATAGCTTCATCCAGAATTACTTGGAGTTACCTTTAGTAGCCTCAAAAATGCCATATTGGTGCATCCATCGGCTGTTGCTACCGAACAGCCATCCTCCCCCAACTCATCTGCTTAAAATAAGCATTTATTCTGCTTACAAGTCTCTGGATCAGCTGGGTGGTTCTTGGCCTGCCTGGGCTCACTTGTGGGTCTGCGGTTATCGGAGTGTTGGGCAGGAAGCTCTGCTGTGTCTGAGACTTCTCATGTGTGAGAAATGCCCTCACTGTCCAATGCCAAAGGATGGACATGGAGACACAAGGTATGGCGAAGTGAGGCTTTAATGGCAGTCTTGCAAGATCTGGTGTCTGATGAACCAGTCACACCCCGAATGGTTACATCAAGCAATTTATTCCCTAGTGTGCAAGTCCCTCTCCCAGTTCCTCATTGACTGAGTACTATGGAGTGTACAATCTTCCTGAACATCGCATAAGTTTTTATTACTTCCTTATAAGGCATTTATTGTCCCCTTTCCTCTGGTGGAAAGAAGTGGGCTCAGGACAAGCCTGCGAGAAAGGTCCACCAGAAGTCCTGAGGAGGAAGAAGAACCAGGAAGTGAAAAGAACAAGGTGACCAGCCCCCATCTTGAGAAGTCACCCTTGAGAAAGTGTACTTCCAAGGGTTATCACACCACAAGTTAGTCAAGCAACCCTTGCTAAGCCGTTCTTGAAAATGAATCACTTAGGCTGTGTTGCCACGTCATGGATCAGGATGGAATGCAGTCAGGTCCTCTGTGTTAAAGTCCACCATGGGTTACTCTGCTGACCACATGTCCCTCTTTTCCCTCCACCTCTTTTTTTTTTTTTTTTTTTTTTTTTTTTTTTTTTCCGTGTCCGGCAACGGATCGCAACCC